TTTGAAGTGTTACTAAGGATAAGATTCCTACGTGATCTCGGATTCCTAGGTTGGGGTATCCGTGTAGGATTAGGGATCTTCATGAATGAGGACAGGCAATACTTGGTTAAGGAATAAGCAGGATCTGCCCAAGTAAACATCCCGAGGCCTAATATCCCGACGACTCCCAAATTAGTTATTAGAGCAATCTGAGGAACTTCGTCCTCGAGAGTCTCGAGGACCCTACAAGCCCGAGGACTAAGTGATCCAAATGGGGAAGATGGGACCCATACCAGTCCTCGTGCTCGAGGTATGGGGAAATGCCATTATCAAGGACTTTTATAAAAATACAGTACGTCATTTGTTTTGGCGAGTCAAAGAGATGAAAGCTTTTTCTTGGAGTACGGTGTTTTCATAGTAACACCTATGTAGGTGATCCATGTAAACTAAGTCTAAATCGTCCGTATTTTTTTTTTTTTGTTAAAGTAGGAACCCACAACCGCTACCCGTCAGCTGATCTCCTACCACTGCAATAAATAAACCCGACTCCATGTGCAATAACCCGCAAATGACACGAGAGATAAACCACACTAAGCAACTCCAGTGCAACAAGCTCGACCCAGGAAGTATTGACAGAGAATTCGAACTCATGACCTTTTGTCTCCGGGTCAACCTGCTCCACCAACTCGGCCAACCCCAAGGAAGATAAATCGTCCATATATTTGTATGGCATGTCATGTACAAAGCTCATTTGAAACTAAATTGAGGGCAAACCTTCAGCTTAAGTTAAACTATCTGAACCATCCAGTCGTCGCTTGCACAACCGGTATATTCCAAAATCACGGTTACTCAATCTTTCCCCTTGGGAATGAAAACAGAATTCCCACAAAATTGGTTGACAAAAGAGGGATTTGTGCTCAAATTTGTTGGAACTCGTATTTGAGATTACACTCCAAAGAGCTCAACTTTACAAAATTTGGTTGAAAATCTATTTTTGAGGTGATGGTGCAATTGCAAAACCACTCCATGAACTAGAAAGAAAAACATGTATCGTTAACAGCATTAAAATCACAAGCACAAACCCATATTTTGTACTTTTAAGCACCTTACATGCTACATTCATATTAAATACTGGGCGAATATTTACACTCCCCTTTAGTCCAAGACTCCAAGGCCAACAACTTGAAATTAACAGCCTAAACACCACCCATCTTGATTACTGATAAACATAGGAGGCACGACTGAACATACATAAACACGGGGAAGGGAAGGGAAGGGAAGGGAAGGGGTGAGGTGGGGTCGGTTCAAGCTGCTTCAGCAAATCCAACTCTCAGTTTGCCACCATCGAATACGGTGTGGTATCGACCCATGAAAACATCTCCCAAGATCCTGCACATCACATTGATGCATTAAAAAATTTGCCACCAACATGTAATACAACCGGAAACTAAATTGCATAATCCATGATCTTGAGAAAGAATTACCAAAGAGGTCCACGAGGAGGGGGGATGTCCAAAGCAGTGAATCCAGAAATGCATTGTGCAGCAGAACCCTCACCAACCTTGAGTATGTACTGGTCACCACCATGAGATAACAATGTTAGTACAAGAGTAAACAGAAATAACCAGCTACAACGAAGCAAGATTAAAACCAGCAAGTGCATTACAAAAAATAGTTCTGCCCAAGTCAATGCCAATTTACAAATTACCAGAGATACTGCTAGTTACTATGGTGAATCTTTGATAGCAAGGTTGGAAAAATAGCTGTATCAAAACCAAAGTGATAGTCCACAGCAGGAAGTACTGGAGTTCAGAATTACCGTGTTTAATAAAATTAAATAGTATTCTACTGTCTAACAAGGGGGAAAAAATGTATTCTGCGCATTTATGCTACACTGGTTAAACTGACCCATTGGACCATTCCTTACTACAAGGTGCCATGTCAAAATTTCGGACGATATGGAAAGATTATGTGAATAATTTAATGAACAGCTAGTATTTGAACCAAACCTCTTGCGGAGAGAGGTCGAAAACTTTTCCACCAATAGTGAAGGAAACGCTAGGCATAGAAGAAAGGCTTCCACATTCAACAGCTGATTCACCCATTGGACTGGGCAGCCGCTCGCAAAGCTGCAATTTTGTCCATGACAAGCATCAACATGAGACAGAAGTGCAGAACTAAGAGATAGCAACTGACGGAACTTACCTCATTTACATAGCTCAAAATGTGATCTTGTGTTTGGTTCTGCCTCAGTTGATTTTGCATCCAAACAACTGCCATTTCACAAGCTGAGCACGTACCATCACGTATCCCTGATCTACCTTCTTTCTCATCCACAACACTCTCAATTCCCATGCTACAGAAATATCAAGAATGAAAGACAGGACAGATGCCCAGAAAAGTACAAAAAATTCAATCAAAATTATGAATTTGAATAAATGCCCAAAGAACTTCCCAAATAAGCAACAGCTGGGAGCTCTTGAACGCGGGGGAAGAGAAGGGTGTGGGTGGGCAGGAGTGTAAGGGGCAGGGATGGGAAGTGGGGACCAACCTAACACCATGAGCTCCATCGAAGGTGCATAACCCAATCTGGGAGCAGATCTTCTGGGGTCGTGCCTTTTGACATATTGATTCAAAAGAAAATCAAGCAAAATAGACAGGCTAAAATACACAACATGCACCTTATGAAAATTGCAACTAAAGCAAAGATATGTAGTCACAACCTCTGCCAAAAGAAGATCCAAAATTGTCTGCCCATATTGTTCAACCACAGCCTTGCATTCCTGGCTGACGACTCCTGTGGCTCCAATAGCATGGTTAATCATGGTGACAATAGTCTACAAAATACAAGAGATAAATAGATAAGTATTAGCCGAGCATATAATGGCAAACCAACTTGTTATCCCTCCACACACACACATTATATTATCCCACAAACGTACCGTGGGACCTGCTAAGAGAGAAGTTCCGGAGTCCGCAATTGCTGAACATCTGCCACCACAGTAACCTAAAAAACACAGTCAAACTATATTAAGGGGGACTGGGGGAGTAAGAACTATCCAATTAGAATGACAAAAAAGCTTTTGATGTGACCATTATGTAAATTGTTTACAATAGTACAATTTGAAGGCTTCGAAGAGTGCATACCAGTCGGTTTATCATCGATGAGGACATCACCCATATCAAACTGATAATATAATAATCAGAGTTAGCTAATGACAGGAAACAATCAAACATCCATTTCGCACATAAAACAATATTTAACCAACCAACCTGCCAGTACCCTTTCCGCGTCACAGGAACATATGTATGTTTGCCTTTGTAATGATTTGGATCAGCTCCACCAAAGACTATTTCGCCTCCCTCTTCTTCCTCCACATTTCGATTGAGCCAAAATGAAAACACAGGCTCCTTAATAAGACCTTGTTTGACCATGTTGTACCTTAACACAAGCAAGAAGATACGCAGAATTTGGCTTTAAATAAATTGCAATAGAAAAATGATGTCCACAATGTTTCGAGTCAGAAAGCACGTGAAATCCGCACTTGCACAAGAAATTCAAATGTAGTGGACAATTAAAATACAATCCCCAAAATAATCTGAAAGAAAAAAAAATAGTTGAACTTATACCACACTGGAGTAGCATTTCCAACTGAGATCTCTTGGAATCCAAGTCCCAATATGCCATCAAACTTGGCAACCAAAAATGTAACGCTAGGTTCTCTCGTCGCCTCAATAAATTCCTGAGAAGTCAACAATGTGCATTAGGCCATTTCACCTATCGACTCATACCTCACATTAACCAACAGAAAAGGTCATAAACCTGATTCTTGACAACAAGGTCACCAACTTTGATGTTATCCTGGCTGAAGAATCCAGAAATAGCTCCAGTACCATAGTGAATAGCAGCGGATTTCCCTGTATGAACATATAGCCGATAGGAAGGTTATAATACTGAGGAGTTATCTAAATCAATGAAATCAGTTTAAACTCCATGGTGAATAGCACTATATACTCATATGCCAGTAAACAAAAAGAACATCATATGAGAACACATGCTGGGCACATCAGTAATATATCACGCAGCAAACAACTCCACTCTCTAATCTCATCTCAGGAAAATTAATGGTATGTATAAATTCAAAAACTTCAAATATAGTTATATTAACATATTGAATAACTTTCATTTCATGGAGCTAGAAATAATAAGTCTTCAAGAATCAGCAAACGAAAAACAGAACAACTACATGTATACAAGTGAAAACAATAACCGAACGAACCATTCTTTTTATAAGTACTTGATTTGCTTGACTTGTATTTGGAATGGAAGAAACATGGAACCTGCACCAAGATGCATGAGTTTTAAAATTTCATAGTCCCATCAAATTGACAAACACGAAATAGGTCAATTCAATTTAGTTAGAAAGAGAGCACATATCTCAAACAGTCAACTCACAGAGAAATAGCACTTTGAAGATGGCACCCACAAATTAGAGCTGCCCGTGTCAAAAATCACAGTGAATTTCTGATGGGGAGTGCCAACACCAATCACCCCAAAGTACTGAGCGTCCATGTAGTTCTTTAATGCTACAATGTCAGCATCTGCAGAATCCCCAAGTTTACCTCGGAGATTATACTTCCTGATTGAAGCTCTCAGGGCCTCTCCTTCTTTGGACTCAAGCCGGGCAGCAAGCCGGTTGTTTTGATCAAACTTCATCTTTTTAATTCCAATTCTCACCAAACCATCATTCGAAGCAGAAAAGGCAAGAGAAAAAAGCATGGATGAAAGAACCAGAGTGACAGTAACAGCTCTCAATTTGATTCCCATTTTGACCTATAATTTCACATCAACATTGAAGTCTGTAAGTTGTCAATAATCAGTTTAGAATGAAAGCATCCACATGAATTTTGAGATAACACTTAGAAACTTAAATGAAGCAAAGTGCATTATTATTTAACAAAAAATTAAAAGGTAGAAAATATCATCTCTCCCTCCCCCAATATTCCAACTTCGATATAAACTCACAGCTCTGACAATTCTTGATTACTCCTTTGTTTCTCAAGGTAGTAATTAGCAGTTTTTTTTTTTTCCCCTCTTTTCTCGACCTTTATCTGAAAATTGACTAGTGATGCAAAGATCACAAAACTGAAGAAATTTATATTTTGCTTGTCCAAAAAGCATCTTCTCATTTTTCAATCCCATGATACATTGATACTATGCTTTTGAACGAGGAAAGAACCTAAATTCGAGTTTTGCCACCACCAATATATTAAAATCGGACATAATGTCTCGTGGGCAAATATATCTCAAATATAATATAAAGAATTTTATTTTTTTGCTTTATCTGATATTTCCAACCTATTAATTTTGCTTCTGGTGTATCCGAACAAATTACAGAAAATCCCGTTCCCTCACCTTCCATACAACGTCAAAATCATTTCTCATCTAAGATTTCTCCTTCTTATTTTCCTCGACAACATGCAACAAATTCTAAAACCCGAAAGACAAAAATAATGAAAAGCAAACAGAAATACGAAATCACAAAATGCCTAATCGGAAAAAAATGTAGAGCTTTCGTATATGGAAAAAAAAATAGAGAATTCACAATGTTCAATAAAAAAAAATTAAAATTTAAACCCAAAACCTCTAACTTTTCATCCTAAAAATTATAAAGAAAAAAAAATACAGTGCTATCAGAATCCTCGAACAAAAATTAACATAAAATTCTCGGGAAGAAAATAACTATGATCAGAAAATCACTCACCGAAATTTTGACGGAAGGAAAGCGAAAATATCGAACGGAGAATAATAATAAAAAGATGTATAAAAGAGGGTGTGTGAATATGGGAGTGTATATATAACAGAGGCCAGAGATCACAGGAAAATCCGAACCGTTGGATTCGATCAAAGGATTGAGATTTGGGCCAACTGATATCGCTTTCACGAGATGCTCGTGTTGAGGACGCGAAGCAAAGAACTTTTCGGAGGGTGACAAGTTACGTCTTCGGGCATGAGACTATGATGGAGGTTTTGATCTGGGCCGTTGGCGATACCATCTAACGGTGGAAAAAGGTTTTGAAGGCTATGAGCGAAGGAATATCGATCAAGTCGGTGATAAGGATGGAATAACGTGACAGAAAACGACGTCGCAGCAATTGGTCTAGTGGTACAATTGAGTAAACGGATTAGTTACGTGTCAGCAAAGCACAAGGGTAGCTTAAAACGTGACACCTGCATTTCTGCCTCTATTATCGAGGCTTTAGCTTTTTTGAATATAATTATATTTTATTTAAACCCTATTTAGGGGGTGTTAAACCCTATATAGTTAAACCCTAGGGGGTGTTTGCTTTTTATTTTTTTTATTTTACAGTAAATTAATTCTCATTTTTAACTACATATTCTTCAATAAAATAATATGTTTCATCACATCAATAATTTTTTTTTCTTTTTCAACCACACATTTCCCATTATATCACTATTCAAAAATCAATTCTTCTCCCAAAAATCCCTACCAAACAAACACTTAATTTAAAATCAAATTTTTAATAAATTTTGATAAAAATTAATGAATTATGTGGTTGAAAATTATGAATTTCATGAAATGTGTTATTAAAATTAATTGTTGACTTTGACTTGAAATTAAAATCAATTTTTTAATCTGAACCAAACAGTGACTTAATATCACGTCAACTGAGAATCGTTTTTTTTTTTTTTAATGATTTTAACATTACTACAATTTAATTATTTTAATAATATCTTAATTTTCATTTTTCAATATATAATAAATACTACAAAATCGCATGAATTCCGTGTTGTTAAAGCTTAATTGATTAACATTCACATTAATTCAGACTCAATGAATCATGATTTGATGAATTTTGATCTATATGAATCTAGTGTTATTATAAACGAATTTATTTATATTCATGTATGTTTTAGCAATTAATTTTTATATATCAAATGCAGTATAAAAATATTGCTCGTTTGTAGTATTTCATCACCACAAAAAAATTGAAAATGATTTTTTGGTGAAATGATGCTCAAAAAATGACCAAGTAAAATTATGGGAAAAATAAAGGTTGGGCTACCCAATCTATAACGCGTTGCAATTATAGCCTATAGGTCCCCAGTCTATTTAAATATTTTGAATTTGAGCCAAATGTTCAAAATGTAATTTAAACGTTAAAAATGCATGGAATTTTCAATTGAATTGGAAATGTTGAGTATTATGACGGTTTTGCCCTCACAATTAAAGTAAAGTGAAGATCGCGTTATCATTTACATTGAAGGATTTGATTGTGTGTAAATCCAGGTTATAAAGTTAAATAGGTTAAAACCCAAAACCAAATCTTTGAATGTTGAGGACTCATAATAACAACATATAAAATGTTGAGGAGTCAAACCCTAATTTTCTCGAAATTTATAAGTAAAATAGCACCATTGGTCCTTGATGTATTGTACCCATAGTAAATTGCTGGCCAACATTTTAAAAAAGTGTAAAGTGATTTCAAATCTCTGTTTGAATTCCATTTTTTGAAAATAAATTTTGTAATATGGTTTTTTTTTTAATATGTAGTTGAAAAGTAGGATAAAGTCAACAATTAATTTTAATCACATATTTTATGGGATCCAAAAAATTTCAACTACACATTTCATTAACTTTTATCAAATCAAAATCTAATAAAAATTTGACTTTAATCCTCACCAAACAGAAACAAAATGATCTATCTGATTATTTTTTCCCGAGGTTGTCTCTTTCTCTACTTATTTTTTCATCATAGAAGTCATCTTTGTTGCTTCGAAGAAATTCCAAATGATTAGTGATACATTTAATTTTTATCTATTGGATTGGGTGGATCAATTATTGTGTCATTAATTACTAATGACACACGCAATAAATCAGTTAGGAAATTACATTATTAAATAATTAAAACATTGACTATTTTTGCGTTTTTTGTCACCTATTATTCCTAATCGTTGTTAACTTTCTTGTTAACAAAATTTATTAAGCACGAGAGAATCACTTAATATTAGATAGAACTTAAAGAGTTAATATTATCGTAAACTTTTAACGGTTATTTCTTGGCAAAGTGCAAGGACAAAAGTAAGAAAATATAACTCGTACTCCACGACAGAGCTAGACATTTTTTATTATGGGATAAAAAACTATGTAATTTATTTTTCAAGCAACATAAAATTAACGAAAATAACTCAATACATTACTACAAATGTTGTCTACATATTTTCATATTTTGAAATTATCATATAACAACATTTTTATAAATATTATCAAATACATTATTTTCAACATTTTGTTTAATATAGAGAGTTTCTTGGAGATGTTCTAAACCTCTGTTTGGGCTCTATTTTATCTAAAATGCATTTTCCCTTCTTTTTATTTGCACATTTTTTAATAAAATAATATTATACGTAAACCCAAAATTTTCATTTTTTTTAACGACACATTTTTCAAAAAATCATTATTTTAAAATTTATTTTTCTCCAAAAATACATTTTAATGGAGCCCAAACAGGGGCTAAACTATAATTCAATTATCGATTTTCAATCCAATATTGTAATTCACACATTGGGTTGAAGACTTTGACACGTCTTACATTGATATGTATAAAAACTTCGTCTATTTTGACATTGGTACAGATGAATCGAGTAAAAAAGGGAATCATTTAGTAAAAATACCTAATCTATGTATTGAGAGATGATCGAGATTGGGAGGTTTGAGACAATTTAGGAGGTAGAAAGTGAGAAAAAATTCGTGCAGGGCAGGAGATATTTTGTGGGGGTGCACACACTATAACGTGTGTAACTTTCTCTCTCGCTATTGCCTCCTTTCTCTGTGAATACACACTCACTCAAATCTAATGTACATTTGGATGGTAGTAGATTAGATGTTAATTAATCGGGGTTGTTGGTTATTATTGGAGGTGGTAGTGTGGTGGTGATTGTGTGGTAATAGTGGTACGTTGAAGAAGGAGGTGGTAGGAGTTCTTGTTCAATCTATCAATCGACTAGCTATTTTGAGTTGCAGTGATGATGAGTTATAGTGCTGGTATGCGGTGTGTGCGAATTTATTTGTGGTGATCCTCTATGATCAAATTCGTGTTAATTGTGATCGATTATGACGAAGTCTGTGTTAAATGTGATCGATTGTAATTGTAAGTTTTGTGGTGTTGGTCTACAGTGTGCGTGGATTTATTTATGGTGATCCTTTGTGATCAAATATTTGTTAATTGTGATCGGTTATGACCAAATATACGTCAATTGTAAGCTGTTGTGACTGTACGTGACCGCAGTACTTAAAATGTTGCCACCATCTCACCACCACCACCATCACCACCACACATATCAACTCCAATGTACTATCATCACTTGCAATGCACCATCACCACCACCATGCAAATCTATATGTATTTATCACTCTTTTTTTTTTTGTAATTAAATATCCATTAGTTGTGTATTTTTCCCATTGAAAATTCATCTAGAGCATATTTAAGCCCATGTTTGGTTTGGATTAAAATCTGATTTTAATCCATTTAAAGTCAAATTAACAATTAATATTAACCACATATTTCATGGGTCTTACAACTTTTCAACTACACATTTCAAAAACTTCTATCACGATCTATTAAAAATCAAATTTTAATCTCTACCAAACAAAGTAAATTTCAAATTGGGCTTTAAACCAATTGTAGAAGGAATAGGGATTGTCAAATTGGGCTTTATGAGGACATGTGGATTCGCCTTGTCGCCATTTTATACATTTTTATATAGAAATTTGATCGTTAACGCATATGATTCTAGTCATCAAGAAATTCCACATAAAGAACCAAAAAAAAATGAAAAGAACAACATAAAGTAACCTTTCTCAACTAGGATCAATAAAATCTTGAAAAAAAACCTCGTGTTCGACTTGAGTACACGATTTGGTAGTTTGACTAAGAAAAATGAAAAGAAAAAAAAAATTGTACAACTGAAGTTGTTTAAGCTCATTTCATAACACTATAAATTATAAGGAAAAAACCACACGTGCGACTCTGACGTGGTCGCATATGATTGGATTGTTTTTTTTTTTTTTCTCTTTCCATCCTCTAATCAATTCCCTTCATGTGTTATCTGTCAAAATTTTATATACTCATAACATGATTGAAAGCAAAAATACACGTAAGGACGTAAAAGACCGCTATGCAGTGTTAATTTGCATCCATTTCTGTAGGATCCAATATTTTCAGCTCCTCAGGCTTCTCAGCTCAGAAATTGAATATTATAAGCCCAATCAGACAATGATTTGGACTTTAAACTCTAGCAGCCCATTCCACAATCCTAATCTCAAGATTCGATCCATATTCCAAAGCCCAATTTCTCAAATGAAAGCCCAATTAAAGCATACTGGTTTATTGGTTGGGATAAATTCACAACTCAGGCTTTATCTATCCCAAAATAAAAAATCAGGCCACAAAGTTTGGAATTACAAAATTCAGGTTTTTCATGAATTAATTAATTATATTTCACAATTATTATATTAAATTAAATATTTAACTGTAATATAANTTCCTTTTTTAGTTGAGTAACTGATCACAGATTACCAAATATTTGATCACAGACCATCAAATAGTAAGTCACATAACCAAGTAATTGGTCATATACACCAAACAGTGGCCACACACTACCACCACACCACTCTACGCCTCCACCCCTCAACAGTTGAAAACCACTCATCGTTCTAAATATCTTCGAGCAACACCACAGCATCAACATCTTCAACCAAAATATATATTAGCAAACAGTAAAAAGTAAAACCTAATTAATGAAGGAGGTCAAAACCGAGGGCAACAACTGAAATGTTACTAGTGATGGATTTAGCTGGACTTGGCGGCAGAACAGCGGGGGTGACTGGTTCTGTCCAATGGCTACCATCATAAGTTCAACAAACTCATCGGCATTTTCAACAAACCCACCGGCATAAAAAAAAAAAAGCAGTTATGTATAAATAACACATAAATCGAGGGCTATGTGAATCCCCAGATAGAGGGGGTGAACGGAGCTGTGCAAAATGAGAATTATTCCCCTGCTCATTCTGTTTTAATTCAGAACCTAGCTTCACCACTTTATCTTACTGTGGTCGCCCTAATGGAGAATATTACTGAATCCCGGTAGCGTCGACTCTACTGTGAATTAGCAGTATCGTCGACGCTCCGACGGGGACGTAGGAGGAGAAGGTA